GCTTCAGAAAGTAGTCGGCTTTCAACGGAGCAAGCGGGCAGAACATGATGGATGCTCACACAGCAGCTGAGGACACTCTTGAAACCCATCCTGTTAATGTCACACGTGACCTGAGCTCCTCCAGTGACACGTCTGTTCAGAGTGCTGTGACACAGTTCTCCACCTCTGACATGCAGTGTGACTCCAGTTCAAAGACGGTAACCTCTGAACTACACCGTGAGCCTGTTGTGACCTCTAATGCCCGAGAGCTACATACTAGCCACGATGCCAGGGCGTCGAGCCTAAGCCCCAAAGCAGCCGGGTCTGCGAACGACACGTTCACTGTTGCTCAGTCGGCCAATCGAAGTTCCTCAAGCAGTTTAAGCGGCGCGGCTCAAACGCCTCAGAATAAGACGCTGGATCTTCCCCATCGAATGTAACAGTCCCAGAGCGGAGAGTGAGGCCAAAGGTCAGGCTTCTTCGCTCTCAAGCAACACAACTGAAAACTCCCTCGTGGTAAGTTGCTCGGCTGTAAAAACAAATGTCTCATGTGACATGCCAAATGCCACTTTCGATAGGAATTCTCTACAAAAATCCAGTGGGAATTCTACATTAGGAGAAGCTGCGGCTGGAACTTTCTGCCTCCAGAACAACACTTTCGATACCAAACCTCCCCCTCAGCAGAACTACACGATTACTCTGTCAGAAACGAGCGACTCCCTCCACAACAGTATGGACAAGCCGTCTTCTTCGAAGGTCTGCGATGCAACAAGTAGCCCTAAAAACCCGACTCCTGAACCCCAGCCCCCTGAAACATCTGAACAGACTGGCTCTAAAGCTGGTACGGATCCCAATGCCAAGGTGGCCGGTGTGCCTGAGAGCACGTTTGAGGTGGATCCAGTTGTAGAGAAAGCTTCTAGTGAATCGAAACTCGGGATTAAGGATATTTCACAATCAGGGCAGCCTATGACAGACAGTCCTTCTGACACTTCAGCCTATCAAAGCAGAGATTTGGACGGCAGCAAAGGGGAACACATTCAATTTGGACGACACCTTAGATTTAGCAGCAGCCGCTTTGATAACTTCAACACCAATGCCAAACTGTAAAGTGTTCAACTTCAACAATGAACGAGAGACGGGCAAAATCCTTGGGGCGACGAAGAAGCTGTACGGGGACGTTCCCAGTAAGCCAGACTGTCAGGTGACATCAGACATTCCTTCCAACATTGTCTGCGACAGAAAAACATTCCTCACCAAGCCCGCTGCCAGATCTCTCCTGCCTCCATCCAAATCTACATCCCACCTGTTGAAGTACAAACCAGCCTCCACACTTCCAGAAAGGTTTGAGCCGCTGATGTCCGGCATGCAGATGAAGAGACAGAAGATGCAGACTGAAGCTTTGAGGAGTTCTGCAGCTTCTGATGCACCCCAAGTGGTAAATGTTTGTTGTAGCCTTTTCAGTATCATGACTTTTTATACAATCAGTCAGACCAAACACTGACTGCATATCAAGGCTCTCTGTTCATGACATCCTCTGTTCTTGTGTATTTAAGACTACAGGGATATCAAGCGCCTACAACTTGAGGGCCACAACAACAGGTGGGGCATTGTGTTTTATGTTTTTGGTTTAGGCTCATTAAACGTACATTCTATTCTATAAAATAATAAAGAATATACATGTCAGAATATCGACAGCATGATACACTCAAACCAATGTAAAAATGTGTTTCATGAATAACTTTTAGACATTTCACTGTTTTTCTTCATTTAAAATTGCGCTCTGTAAAATAATAACAATCTGATTTGTAAAGCATCAAAACAAACTCAAAATAGCTCATTGAAAGTGCACATTTAGGACCTCCTTTTATGAATGAGATCTAAAAATAGATCAAGAAATGTGAATGTCCTCTATCCACATTGTCTCCACTCAGGATCCAAAAAGCCCAATTATGGCTTGCGGAAACCGCAGGCGGTAGGCATGCCATCAGGCGTCCAGAGAGCTGCCGCTGGTCTCAGGCCGCCATCAACACGAAGCAAAGCACCAGCATCGCCAACTTCTTCAGGCACAGAAAAACTGCGGGCGCCTGCAGGTACTCCTTCTGTGGTAACACTGCTCATCGTGCTTTGCTTGTTCATTCTGACATTCAGTGACAAATAGAGCAGTCATGAAGTGATTCTCAAAGCACAGAGGTTTCAGTTTGGTCTGGCTGATTATAACTGAGTGAACAAACACAACGTATCAGAGCGAATCGAGCCTCAGGGAGAATGCAGTTTCATTATTTTGAAATGTTAAGAAATGTAACGGTGTTGCTACATGGCTACATGTAAACCTGTCCAACAAATATTGAATGTGAACCTGTGATTTACATGTTATCTTTGAGAAATGATTTGGTCTAAATTGTATTTCCTGCCAGGGTCAGAGTTCATAATTAAACTAAAGCTGCACATCTTTTACATAATGTCATTTCACATGTTTTAACACCTCACTGATGTAAAGTGGTGTTTCTATAAAATAAAGAATAAATACTAATAGCTATCACGCTATTTTTATGGCTTTAGCATTATAACTATTGAAAATATTTTTGTATCAATCAATTTATCAATCTTAATTTGTATAGCGTCAACTCATAACAAGTGTTATCTCGAGACACTTTACAAAAAGCAGCTAAACCTTACTCTTTGTCTGTTAACATTACGAAAGAGCAGGTAAAAAGACCGTTCTCATTGTTATGTTACAAAAAGCAGGTAAAAGACCTTACTTATTGCTATATTACAAATACCCGTCTTAATCCATCATGAGCACTTTAGCAAAGCAGCAAAAGTTACAGTGGTAAGAAAAAAACGTCCTTTCAGCGGCAGAAATCTTCAGCAGGATCCGAGGCTCATGACGAAACAGCCCTCACAGCCCTCACAGCCAAGACTACGCCGGGCTTGAAAGAGGGATAGGGGAGATGGGATAAGATGTGTTTTTTTTGTTTTTTTTCACCGTTTTAATCTACCTGAGCAACTTCCGAAGTGAGACGTCACTGAGTTATAAACAAGCTCAGGTCAGGCTGGATGGAGAGGTCGTTGATGAAAAACACGATGGAGAAGGCAGAGAGTGTTTACAGCCCCATCGTCGTGTCTTAATTGATTATTTCCTGGTAAACTGATGTGTCAGCTGCTTTGGAGAACAAATCAATGATCTGAATGTTTACTCAACCTGCATGTTTGTGTGTTTCAGGAAGGAGTTTGTCGAGGCCTACCTGCGCTACGTGTTCACAGACTCGGTGAGCGAGCAGTACTCGGCCTTCTCCTCCGGCTTCCTGAAAGTGTGTGGGGGGGGAAATCCTGTTGCTGTTCCAGCCGTCTGAGCTGATGGCCATGGTGGTCGGCAACAACAACTACAACTGGGAGGAGCTGGAGAAGGTCAGTGTGGTCAGATAAATTGATCTGTGCCTGTGGTGTTTTTAGTAAAAGCAAAGAACACAACACTTACTGAGTTACTGCAAATGTCTGTGCCAAAACGTCTTCTTATTAATAATTCAGCATGAAATAACAATAGAATAAGTGTGATCTACACAGGACATATTTGAACGGATGCATCGTAGGCATTGTTTATATCTTCATTGAGCTGCATTGTTGGTTTGGAGGACAGAAGCTTTTCTGTGTGGAGTTTACATGATCTTTCAGATTACTCCAGCTTCCTCCTTCAGTCCAAAGACGTGCCGTTAGATTAGTTGGAGACTCTAAAATGGCCGTAGGTTTGAGTGTGAATGTTGGATGGATGGATTTCTAAAAGGAATACATAAAATCCTGAATTAGATATCAATTATTACAATCATTTACTCGTTTTAACACCGAGAGTGCTGGTTCAACTACTACGTAAATCTGTTGTCCCTGTTTTCACATATTCATCTGGTGATATCAGCTCTCATGTGCAGATGTCCTGTTGTGCAGATTACATTCTATAATTCGGATAAGAGTTGGGGCTTTTGTGTAAGGCTAAAGCTGTCACAGAAATCAAAGCTGATTTTTTTTTGAGATATGTTTATATATGTTATGTAGAACGTAGACAAAAATTAAAGAAGCATCTAAGGAATCTGTGTAACTTAAGTTAAGTTTCAGATTGGCTGTTAAAGAGTGATGATCAAACTGCGAAAAACGTTTCATCATGTCTCTCCTTTTTGCAGAATGCCGTTTACAAAGGGGAATACACAGCCACTCATCCAACAGTCAGATTGTTTTGGGAGGTTTTCCACGAGTTCCCTCTGGAAAAGAAGAAGCAGTTCTTATGTAAGCATTGAATAACCTCGTGTCAGCTTGATTCTCACGCTCTGACCCTCACACGTCTCTTAAATACTTCAGTAAAGTGCTGGATGTTCCTGTGTGAGACCTCTGTGTTTACATGTGTGCAGTGTTCCTGACCGGCAGCGACCGTATCCCGATCCACGGCATGGAGAGCCTGCGTATCGTCATCCAGTCCACCACAGCTGAGGAGCACTACCTTCCGGTGGCCCACACATGCTACAACCTGCTTGACATGCCCCGCTATCAGACCAAAGACATCCTGTGTCGCCGCCTCACCCAGGCCGTCGAGCAATATGAGGGCTTCAGCCTTGTCTGAGGAGGGAGAGGGGGTGGGGGGGGGGGGGGACTGCAGCGGTTTTAATGCACTTTAACAGCAATACACCACCATGTCAGTGTGAACAGAGTGAAAGAGGGGAAGGCTGCTCTCTTGCTATGCTCTTACAGGATTGTTAAGCATCTTGAATCTGAAAGGTCTATCGTTGAAAATGCAGAGTCTAATTGTTTTTTATTGTATTGGGCTAAGTTTCATAACCTCTAGAACATTTGCAAGATCTTAAAAAGTCTTATGTTTGAGTATTTGTTTGATGTTAATTACTGTTTTACAGAAGAATGACGACCTGGGATTATAATTATTGTTGGGACTTAAATCAAAAGGCTGAGCAACTCGGGGTCTGGGTCTTTGCTTACTTTTTTTTTTGTCTTCTCTTTTTTTCTCTTTGTTTTAGACAGCTGTGTATTTTATATTCAACTCCTTAAATTCTATTTTTCACTGTCAAAGAATTCTGTTGTTACCTCGAGACAATATATAATTTTTGTTACTGTTAATTTATCAAATAGAGTGGTTATATTTTGACAAATAATAATGTGTATATGTTTGTAAATAGCACTTTGAATATAATCTTGAGGAGTGTTTGTCCTGCTGATCCTTTTAAATCTGGACACCAGCATGTCCGCCACCCGACTTAAAGGACAATGGAGGAGAACGAGGCCGAGGTGTGCAGGATAAAATGTGGTGATTATGATTTGCAATCCCTATTTCCTTTTGCGTTGTGGATAACACAGAAGCTGACTTTGTCTTGAATCTGCATTCAACAGTGTTGCCTTCTACAGCATAACCTACATGAAGAGCTGACTTTCAAAGTTGAAGTGGTTGTTGTTTGTGTGCATGTTTTTCAATGAAAGCAAAAAAAAATGTGACTCCTTGAAATTTTATCATTCTGGGACATAGTGTTACCTTTATTAGCTTTCTTGCGGAGAGTTAGCTAGATGAGAAAATTGGCCCCAATTTAACGTGTGTTAGTTAAATATAATAAGCATCCAACTAGCTTAGCTTCATGGCTGAAAAGTGGTGAAAACAGCTCGGCACACATACAGACAGGGGCGTGTCCAGACTTGTATGGGGTGGCCCACCTGGGGCACTGGCTTATGCAGGGGTCACATGAAGTGTGTGGCCATTTTCTTTTTTTACCCTTTCTATCCCCCCTAATGTACTGATAAGTAACACAATTTGGCAACATAATTCTCCTTAGCTTGGTCTTTAGGGACTCAAAAACAAAAATGTATGCGCAATTAACATTGAATTGGGCTGTCTTTACTGTTGAAAACAGCCAGAATAGTTTAACTTAAGTCCCGCCTCCTGATTAGGCAAATTGCCAATCATATATTTGGATTTTGGGGTGACAGCTGGGACCCTCTGGACATTGCCCTGCATACAGAGTTGGTTTTTATCTTCACAAAGAGTGTAAAAATGATAGATATACAGGTCACAATAGAAAGTTTAACAAGTCTGACTTTTGTTAGCTGGCCAGTTTTCAGTTAACTGCTCAGAGATAAAGTGCCATGGCAACCTGAGACACATCATATACTTTGTTATTGGATTGACCTTTCAGATTTCAGCCTTACATTTAACAGTTGACAGATTTCAACAGTTTGAAAGTCCAAACTCGCTGTTTTCAGTCTTTTAGCCAAGCTAAGCTAACTGGCTGCTTGCTCTAGCTTCATATTTAGCTAGCTAAGAGCACTAACTAACAAGCAGCTAACAAACATGTCCCAAGTTGTCCTTTAAAGCTGAATATATACCGTCATCATTTATATGAATAATTATAACAAGTGTAATAAGATTTTTCCCGATCCGCTGATATATAAATTTGGACATTTGTGGCAGGACGATATATGTGTATACCACACAGTGTGGGCAGATGACCTGTTAATAACTACAGATATATATCGACTGTAGCCTATCTATCATATCACTTGTTCCAAAACGTGTTTAAATTCAAGTTATTTATTCCTACAGTGAAACCCTCTAATCCAGAATGATGTGTAATTAGGTTGTGCATCTGCGTGAAATGGTCTTGCATATATTTATATTTTTGTATATTTCATACATGCCAGATATATCAGACAGTAAACATGGTCACACTGACACAAACATTTAGCAATAACCTGAAACAGCCCAGTATTGTAGTGACTCTGGGTTAATCTTCTAAAGGTCTGAAACACTGGACTCTTCTGAGACGTTTCTTAGGATGGTTTTGCCCTCTTGCTTAAGCTCTATACTGCATGCACACACAGGTTCTACATGTTTGATGGAAACAGATTTTTTCCTGCAGAGTTTAGTACTATGCAAAGGTTTGTGCTGCCCTTGACTTTTTTTGCACCTTTAAATGTGCTTCAGAAAATGGGATTTTCGCATATTTGTCTGAAATATACACAAAGCTCTCTGTTCCAGACAACTTTTTAAATAAAAGAAGACATTGTAAAACACTTCCATTGTGTTTCATAGTTAAATACAATGTAGAAACTAGGATCTCTGATGTGGAACTGATGTCAATATATAGTCTGTTCTACGACACTGGGCTGACATGAAATCCTGATGTTGAATTAACTTTGGATCCTGATGAAGTACTTACAACAAATCCTGTTGTTGAACTTCAGATTCCAACACTGGGCTGACATCAAATCCCAACATTGAATTGACGTGAGATACAGATGTTGAGCTGACATCAAATCCCAACATTGAATTGACGTGAGATACAGATGTTGAGCTGACATCAAATCCCAACATTGAATTGACGTGAGATACAGATGTTGAGCTGACATCAAATCCCAACATTGAATTGACGTGAGATACAGATGTTGAGCTGACATCAAATCCTGCTGTTAAACTTACTTCAGATCCCGACCTTTGGCTGAAGTAAATTCTCGACATTAATCCTTTATGTTTGGTTGACTTCAAAACCTCAGTGTAGTTCATAATATGCATGTTTTGTTCAAGATGCTGATGAAGATGGTGTGTAAGAAAAAAGGCTAGGCTAATTCAACAGAGGGTCCTAACTGCATTAAAGGTCAACAATGGTCTGCTAGCTCTGTTTAACTTTTCATGTGCTTTCTCTATGTAGAGAATTGTGTCCAACCCAAGGAACTGAGGTACGCTTTTTATGTCTTCAAGAAGCTCTGGGGTCATTGCAAGCCGTCCTCAACATGTCATGAACTGGCTCCTTGCAAGCTAGAATAGACAAACATCCACATTCACACTACTGACTTTACAGACGGACACGCTCCATGTTTGCAATTAAACTTTCAATTGTTTACCTTTTTACAATAAATAATTATTATTTGCTGTCAACTAACTTGTGTCCTTCCCATATTTGTCCCTTGAGCCAGGGTTCCCACAGTATTTTTTGATGACTGTTTGAATCACGTCTCATGCTATGTTTCAGAGTTTCCAGTTTCTCGGTGTGTTAAAATATTTTGGTTATCATTGGTTTGTAATATATAAGATGTTTTTTCTGATCAAACTATAGTTTAGTTGATTAAAACAATGATCTCATCAATAACTGATACCTAGCTCAAAGCAACATTGTACTTTGCACATGATGATGCGTTCATGTTATTTAAGTGAAACAAAAGAAAATCCACTCAGGCCAAGAAGTCAGTAAAAATATGATTTCATTCAGAATATATACAAAATACAAATACACTTTATGTACTAAAATGTACACACTCAAAATTCATTAAGCCTTGCCAGTGTTTACATTCAG